AGCTTTTTGATTATTATATACAGATGCAATTAGCAACCAATCATATACAGAGGCTACTATAAAACTTAATGGTAATGAAATTTTCAGTTCTCACTTTCATGCTTTCACTTTCGTGCGACTTTTTCAATGTTGGGATCAAATGACAATACGGGGAATGTTAGAAAATACAAAAACAAGAAATTATTTCTATATGAATTCATATTCGAATTTTGCATTGCAATTAATTTACAGCAGTTAATTCATGAGTCATTAATCTTTCATTGATTTAATTTAATAGATTTAAATCGTTAAACATTATTTTGTACCAAGTATTTTAAAGTAAAAACAAATTATCTTATATATGCAATTTATTTGCTATACTTTGCATATACAAAGATATACAATATATCATCAGACTAATATAAAAAGCAGGAAGAGATCGTTCGCTTGTATCGTGTAGCAAAGTTGTGATTCCAGAATTCATATTGCATTTCCTACATATATAAATTAATAATTAACAATAAGTTATGTACCATGATTTTATTCGTTTATATTTTAATGCTATTCCTGAAAGATATCCTTCTCGTATCTATTTATCTATTTCTATATAACCGAATTGAAAATCAGGCATTTCCTACAAATCCTATAAGTTAGAAAATAATATAAAACGAAAAATACAATCTTAAAAATAATATAAAGTACAAGAGTCTCTATAAAAATATACTAAAATAATGTGCAATGAAATTATAATCATCGTCTCACACACAAGCGACGATCCTAATCGAAGGAACTAATTAATCACATAGACCGCAACTTCTATTCTACGTCATCAGCCCATACGTTTCCACGGATTTGTGATTCATATCTTATCGTTCTTCTCTTTTTCCACGTGTTCACCGTTGTCGCAGCAGATTTCATTAGATTTTTCATTTATATCCTCATTAAGCAAATTGTTCTCTCCGATGTTGCCAAGATCGGACTTTTGTTCTTCGGCTTCTTGGTCTGTTTGTTTCACATCTTCCACTGCATCCGTGGTCCTCAGCGGCATCCCTAAATTATTCTTTGCGTCCTCACGGACGGCACATTCTTCGGACTGCATCGAGCTATTTGTATCCAGCGAGGTCTTCGGTACGGTTGACAGTTTCGTCGATTCCGATGGGAAATCGTCTAAGCTGGTCACCTCTTCGATCACGACGCCCTGAGAAATTCCTGGAAGAGCCAAAGGCTCTCTGAGGCTACCCTCACCGGAAATCGTCGAGAGATGAGCGTCGTCGGTATTTTTTGTGCTCTTCATCATATTGTTCATAGTTAAAGAATCCATATTGGAGCCCAGGTCCTCAACGCTGGTTATAAAGTTCAGGTATTGGTTCTCGTCATTTCTCGGATAGCCCAGCATCAGGATGTCCACGGTCGGTTCCACAGATTTTGCTCCTTCAGTATTCGCATTAAAATCAGAATGAGAATTCTGGCGGACTGTGAAATGGCGGGACGCATCCGCTAGCAGATGCATCATGATTGGAATGGTGGGATCAATAAAAGTGTTGTTTTTATGAAAGCTCGCCCCATGTTCGTCATTGCGACTGTGAAAAGCAGAAAAAGATATTTGTAATTTTAATTCAAGATGCTAGGCAACAAATAGTTAGATACATTGTTAATCTCTTTAACGAATGATTACTTACGTAGATTCGTTCTGATCGACATTAGACTTTGCAATATCAGGTTGATCAACGTCTTTCACATCCTTTTCAATTTCTTCACTGGAACATTCGTTCGATGTGATTGAATTAGTTTTATTGGTTGTTGTCAGATCGAAAAGAGGCAGCGGTACAGAATCGTGAAACTCCCCGGTATGTTGAAGTCGACCCGTTGCGAAGGCATTTTCCAATGAGAGTGTCGTGTTCTTCAGAGCTTCTTCTCGTCGAAGACGTCTGGCTTCTCTCAGATTTGAAGTATCCTGAGGCACGACCAGACGATCGCTCTAAAGGTTGTGATAATCCATGAAGTTTAATTATATTATATTCCATTCATGTTTAAAAAAGAAAAATGTATTAATTATTTAAAGGAATTAAAGAAAAGTATCAACTATTAAAGAAGTATATATAATAAAGAAGTATAAAATAATTAACAAGTGTAAACAAATTTTATTTTAGGATATGAAATTTTTAAGGAAATCTGAGAGAAAACGATGTTTATAAAATCGTTGGAGACGTCAATCCTGATTTGAGAAACAATTATTTTAAGGGACCAAAACTCGGGTCTATCTGCCAAGCCGGTTACTGCCAAATGCCAAACCGCCTGTTGCAATCCCGAAAACGCTGACGTTTAGCAGTGACCCGTCGTTTCCTCTTTTACGTAATAAACTTCCGGCGGGCGTGGCGTGCGAAATATTGCGTCCAGCTGTTCGACTCCGCAAAACAGAGAAAAACCGATGGACTCGATTCCAAGATCAATTTCAACACATTGAATGGCCGTGAATAAAGTTTATTATTTAGAATACGATAATGATATTCATTTAAAAATATTTTATTTTGTTAGACTTTATATATTGTACAATTTTATTAATTTTTATGTAACAATTTTTTATTTTAATTTTTTATAGACGACAATAACGTTTAATTATTTTTATCAAATATAATATTATAAATCAATATTATTAAATTAAATTATCCTTGATAATGTTAATTTGTAATTATTTTTTTAAGGAATCAATATTAATTTATTAAAATTAAATTTAATAAATATTCTAATAAATATGAAGTTAAATTTAATATTTATTATAATAATTATATACTTACCGTAGTTATTTTTTGCGTCGAAGAAGTGTCATCCAAAACGAGTTTTGAGTTCAAAGTTTGGCGCATGCGGCGACGCGCTAAAAATCCTCGAATACCTTCCAAAAATAATCGTTGTTATTGTTATGCACTTATTATCTTATTATATATATTCTTTATATTATATCATGAGTGTGTTAAAATAATATTGCCTCACTTTCTAATCTCGAAGTTAATGGCATTGCAATGCTATTTATCCATGAACTTAAATGAACTTTCCTGCTTCCTTCTGGTTTTATTATATTATTTAAGCGTAAATAAAAGATAAGAAAGTCAATGGTCAGTTATCTACACTGCCAACGCGGCATAATTAAAGAATCAATTTGTGACGTAATTTTATCGAAATGCTACGTTTTACTTACAAGCCTGGATTTTTACAACTGCCGAATAGAAATTGTCTTTCTCCCGAATAAGCGATTCATCCGCGATGATTTCTGGTGCATCAGCAGCAACCTCCATCTTCTCATCTGCACTTGTATCAGAACCGAAAGCTTCGATCACTGTTTCTACGGTCGATGATTTCGTTCCTACGGTCCAATTTTTAAATGAAGGACGATCTTCCGTTGATTGTTCCGATATTGCGTTTGTAATTGGCCCATGGACACTTTCTATTTTCATTGAGAGATCTTCAATTTTCTCTTTCTCCTCATTTTTCATATCTTTTTCTGTTTGATCGTCAGTGATGGATTCGCTATGTGTATTTGATCTAATCTCTTCGTGTCCATCATCATTTTTCATCGAGTCTTTTTCTTTCATCAAGTCTTTTTCTGATTCTGTTACTTCTAAAGGCAGTGTTCTCGTCTCTACAATTTCTTCCTCCACCCTTATATTTCCTCGATCATCTTTCTCTTGAATTTTTAATTTTTCTTCTTGAACGTCTAATTTTTTTTGCTTGCATTCTTCGTGTATTTCTAATTTTTCTTGCTCGCGTTTCTCTTGACTTGGAGATTTCTCTTCTTGTTCATTTTCTATCCATTTTTGGTTTACTTCTTCAATTTTATGTTCACTGCTTTGGCTCTCATTAGCATTCTCGAAACTTATTTGTTTATCGTCAAATTTTTCTTGAATATTGATGTCATTTGCATTAAGCTCTCTTTTTACTGTAATTCTTTTATCAATTATCTCAACTTTACCATTTTCATCTAACAATTCATCTTGTTCAAATTGTGCTAGAGGTGCGACTTGTAAACTCTTTGTGAATTCTTCCTTTGGCATTGCTGATTGTATTTCTTCAGTTTCTCTATCTATTGTCATATCTTTATCCTTATTATCCTGCCTGATATCTGAATCATCATCTGATAATTTGCTAATCATTTCAGTCCTTGTAACTTCATCTATTTCAGGTAAAAAGTCTTCATGTTTTTCCTCTTCTTGTTCAGCTGAAGTTGAATGAATAGATGCCGAAAATGGCTGATTAGACTTGCCATCTATACCTAAATTACTTCTCTCAGATACTTCACTATCTTTAGATTCCTTCTGCAAATCTGATTCTTCAGCGCGAAGTTTCATATCTTTATCCAATAAGCTTATCAATTCTTTCGCGATCTCTTCCTCGCTGCCTAATTCTTCTCCCTCTGTTTTCTCCAGATCAGCTTGTACAATATTTTCTGATAAAGCTTTCAAATCAATATTGTCCCCCTGAGATTTTGCTTCATCTTCCAAATTAATTTCCGTAGACAACGGATCCTCTTCTAGCAATTTATATTTCGCATGTTCCGCTTGATATAATTGGTCAGCCTCGGGAACTTCTGACTGCAGATCTCTTTCTGTCAATTTTTCAGCGACAACTTCTTCTTCGTGATCGGCTAAGATCAATTGATTCATCAATCTCTCATCCGAAGTCAACGGTTCGATCAAGGACGTTGTGGCATCGCTTTCCCTAAGACTGCTGTTGTCCTCCTTCTCCGTTTCATTTGCCGTCATCTTGAAAGACGACACCGTATTATCCTGGAGCGAATCCAGATTTAACTCCGGTACTACTGGTCTACTCAAACTCGGACTCTCGATCGATTCGTTGCTGGCGATACTCTCTTTTAAGTCGCTCGACGTAGTTGTATGAGTCTCCTGCGTACTTCCGCTCTCTTCCGATGAATTCTCCAGCGTGTTTCTCAAATCTACTACATCTGTTTTTCCTTCGTCTGTCACATCAGAACTGACAATTAAATCCTTATTATTGGGCATAGATTCATTCTCAAGAATGCGAGAAGAAGAAATTTCCTCAGAAATTTCCTTAGATTCAACCGCCTTTATATTAGTTTCTTCACTCTCTTCCACGATATCTTCCAGTGTTGCATGTGTCTTCATTTCTTCCTCTGCTTCTTTATTATCTTTCTTCTCTTGATAATCTTCTACTTTTGTTTTCTCATTGTCTTCTTTTTCTTCTTCCTCTTCACCTTCTTCCTTGATTCCGTCCAAGTTCTGATGGATTATATCCTGATTTAGTTTTAGTTCTTTTACATTACGCATAAAATCGATATCAATTGATAGACCGGTGGCATCCGGTCGAATATATTCCCCGAAAGCTTCCATGCCACATTCATGCTGATTCTCTTCTTGTCTCTCATCATTGGAGGTTTCCTTAGCTATGTCGAAGCGTGTGATTGATTCATCTCTTCGATTCTTTGTTGTATCAAATAAATTCTCTTCCTCTAAAATAACAGGAGAAGGACACGGTCTGTCTGGGATAATCACGGTCGTCACGGAATCAGGAATTTCGCAGGGAGAAGCTTCACTGAGAACATAAGAGAATGGAACTTCTAAAGAGAGCGGTGTCGTCACTGGTAATTTGTCAATATCGCGTTTTTTTCGCGCTTTCGTCTTAGCATTTTCTTTCGGAAGATTTGTTATTGAGATTTCGCTATTGAGCATTGTAACATTCTCGGAGCTTGTGCTTTCTCCATTTGCCGCATCTTCTGCTTTACTCTTTGATTCTTTGTTCGTTGTACCATCATCTGTTTCAGAAACAATCGTTTCAGTGACCTGAGAAACTTTGTCATGTGATCTTGAATTTATAGATTGTAGATTTTCGACTTGAACTTTAACTGCTAATTCTTCTATACCATTTGGCAATTTTCCGTTCGTCGATTTTTCAATTTTGTCAGTCGATCTCTCGTCTTCCGATTTTATTACGTTTTCTATTGCTTTTGTCATCGTCTCTGTTTGATCACTTGCTGTTTTTACTTCGTTCTTTAATATTTCTCTCTTTACTTGTTCTGTTTTATTTGTTAATTTTTTTTCTATATTTAAATTTTCTGTTTTATTTTCTTCTATATCTTTTATCTCTTCTACATCATTCGATTTTCTTTTCTCTTCGTTGTTCTTTTCTTCATCGTCTTTATTTACCGATATTTTTCCCGCGCCTGTTGACTTTTCTGTCTCATTCATAGTCTCTTCCGCCTCATTAGTCCGCTCTCCCGCTTCATTTATCTTCCCGTCAGTCATCGACTTTTCCACTTGGCTCGTCATTTCGCCAGTGTCACACGTCACGACTTGTTGGCAAGCCAATGCTTTCTCAATATTTCGTTCCGCCATCTCGATCTCGATCAACTTATCTTTTAACCTATCGACCGTGTTTTCTCGTGCAAGATCCGCGTTTCCATTTTGAAGTTTGCCTTCATCCTCATCGGGCTCCAACGAGTCTGGCCTTAGCGGTATATCCAGCATTTCCGGTGTGACATTTAAGCTATCTCTGAAGACTTCCAATTTTCTTCCTTCCTCCAATTGTTCCAATTCCTCAAATTCCTCGAGACTTCTGCGTTTCTCATCAAGTTTTACCGAGATATCTTCCCGAAAAACTTTATCTTCATCTTTTCCATGTTCTTCGATTAATCTCATGTCTGACGTCAAATATTGTTCATCGTTAGGATTCTGTTCTATGTCTGCGATCACATCTTCGTGACCGTTTTCAGGAAGGACTGCTATATCTTCTATATCACTCGTAATGTCATGCATCGTAGAGGCTTCTTCCGCATCTCTCGAAATGTCCTCCTGCTGTTTCTTGGTAGAATGATTGCCGTTGGTGGCCGCCGCTGACAGAATTGGCAAGGACAACTCGTCTTTCTTCTTCGTCGACTTGGGAGCTTCCGGTGAAATAGGTGGCAGCGTAAGGTTGTCTGAACCGTTTTTAACAGCACTCCTAGTACTTCTGGAGGACGGCGGTCTCACGACCGGCAGGGAAACGATGTTCACGTGATCAGAGATCTCCAATTCCGATGATTCACTTCCGGCAGAATCGCTCTTACGACCACCACCCAATTCGGACGTCGACTTCGAGATACCTTCCAGAATGTTCTGTGTAGCAGTCAGTCTAGCCTCCAAAGTATCGCGTGCTGCAACGGATTCGTGCTCCAATTTATCGCTATGCTTCGAATTGTCGTCGACTTGATCGACGACTCCGAAGTCACCGCTTTCACGTCTCCTCGATCTTTTACCTGATCCCACGCTGCGCCTCTTTGATTTTTTCTTCTCTCTTTCTACGTATTCCGGAATAGTTTCCTCTCTTTTGAGAGTGCCTTCCATCTCTTCTTTCTTCTCTTTCCGCTCCAGTCTGTTTTCATTCTTTTCCCTTTCGCTTTCCTCTTCCTCGCCGCGTCTTCTTTCATCTCGAACGTGTCGACGAAGCGATTCCTCGTTCCAAGCGAGATCGATTGACCTCGAACGCTTCCCTCGAGGTTTCCCGATCTCCTCCAGCTTCTTTTTGATGATCGGCGCCGCACGATCGATCACCTCCTGCACCTGCTCCACGTACGTAGGTGATCGCAGCACTTCCAAACTTGCGGTGCTCGCAAATTTACGTAATACGTACGCTCTGATGCGATCCATGCTGAGAGCTCTCGACGATACTTTCCTCTCGGAGGAATGTTCGGAGAACTGCGCTTCCTGTCTTCTTTCTTTATTTCCGGTTTGAGCAATTGTCTCGCGGCTCGTACTGTCATTTTTAATGCTCGCTCTTGTGTGTCTAACAATTAAAAGAGAAAAATCAGACAAATATCTTATTATATAAAATTGATTAAAGTTTATCAAAATTGTATCATAATTAGCAAGATAATTATAAAAAAAATTATCATAATAATAATTTTATTGTACCTATTTATATAATATTTATTATACCTATTCTCAAATCCATTGACCGCGATTTCACGCTCCGTTTCGGTCTCGGATTCGGTCTCAATTCGGCGCACCTTCTTCAGGGATCTTCGTGCAGAAGTTCTATTCGAACTTGTCGTCGTCGTCGTCGCCGCCGTCGTCGTCGTCGTCGCCGCCGTCGTCGTCGTCGTCGTCGTCGTAGTACGTTCGATCTTCTCTTCAGAACCTTTATCTGTCTTAGAAACTCTCGTCCTGGATCGTCTATCACCTCGAATTCCTTTCTCTATACTGTCGGTTGCTTTCGATTTTTCACCGCTCAATTTATTCTTCCTGAGTTCTTGCTTGATATCCTTGGTCTGGATATTTTTACCGGGACCATGAAGACCGGTCATCTGCGAGATGATTCTCGTCGCGCGAGCGTCCGACGTCGTCTCATTGTCTTTCGATTTCTTCAAAGTTTTTTCGTGGTCGCGAGATTTCTCGAGGATGTCTGCTTTGCTTTCCGACTTTCTCTGTCGGTAGAGACGTCTTCTGGGCTTTCCTCGACGTCAGCGGATAATCGTCCGCGTTTTTCGAGAATTTCGATTTCCCTCTCCAGGGACCAACCACCGTTCGAAAGTTTTCTGATATGTTTGGTCTCTTTGGTGGGCCACAAATTAAAATCGTAACTGAATTCATGACTGAACGCTCGATCGTTATATTCCTCCGCATGATACTCCTCTCGCAGCTTCAGAAGCTTCTCAAAGTGACGGGCTGCAAAAACGTATATGTCCTCGGGACGATGACGCAGGACTTCCCTCGTGAGACCTTCGACCACCGCCGCAAGACCATGGGGTACCTGCGGCGCGATGAGGTATCCTGTGCCAGGATGCAGACCGGAACGATCGATTGGCCGAGTCGGACTTAGCATCGTGCCACTTTGTTATGTTTCATAATACTTGCGATATTCTTTCTATACTAATATTTTAACTTCGCAGCATTCCTTTATTTCGATGTGTCAGATAGATACATCACGGAAAATAGTTTCTTCTTTTTCAAAAAACTTTTCCGATGTGATACTTGCATTCGCTTTCTAGATATTTAAGAGAGAAAAATTAAAATTATTTTAAAGCCTGCGTATTAAAATGCAATAACTCTTGATTTTTTAACAGTCGACGAAATATTTGCCTCTGAAATTTTCTTTAATTCTAAAATCTTAATTTTCTAAGATAGATTTTCTAAGATTTTCTTTCTATGTGCAAAAAAGTTAGAAAGAATATACATTGCAATTTTTAGAATGTGTGAAAAAATATTAATTGTTTAGTGCATCTGTGTTCGTTAAATTTTAAATCTTTATTTCTCTGAAAAATATAGCTTCAACAGTTTATTGGCTGCAACTTTTTAACGAAACATTTTTAAACATATATTTTTTTTTTACTTGGAATTGCATTTTCTATTTTTGATCCCATCTAGTGCTTTGTGATTTGGTTATATTCTGTATAACAAAATGCATTCACTTGCTTTCGTACCAAAGACATATTTCATATATCTTCAACAAACACAATAATTGGAATAAGAAAATTATTATAATTAATCATAATGTATATTTTTTGCAGAAATGGTTACAGTTCGCGTGTATGCATATCAAAGTGCATTCCAAGATGCATTCCTTTGGATGATGGTGCTCGTATAATTTCGTATACCTGCCAAAGTGCAAGAACATAAATTGGAGCAATGTCGTGAACGCGGATATCGCTACTTTTTCCGCGTTCTAGAAATTGAATGTACCTGCTGCAGAAGAGAAGGAAATCAGAAAGGTTGCTACCACCGATCGTGTGCACCCCCGTGGCACAACTGAATCACCAGCCTCGTCGGCGCGATGGTCGATGTTTGTCCATTGATTAGTTTGTTCTGACGCACGGCCACGTGACTCTACTGCAGAATTATACACGGTTTAGAATATGGAGCCGAGTCAAAGAGAATAGAATAATAATGCGCGGCCATCAGTCTCCTATTTTTCGTGACAGTCTCGCGAAACAATATAATTCAATTGCAATCGGTCACCCGTTACATAGTTGGAAGTATTGAACGTTTAATAATACAATCGTGGCAGTGCTCATGCAAGTTTCATGCGATGGAAATTATTATGGATTTCTGAATTATAAAACCTACAAAAATATTCAACGTAGAAAACAAATTACGTCGAAAACAGATATAAAATTTATAATTTTTTTAAAGAAATATTAATTTTGTACATAAATAGATTTAAATTTCTACGAGAAGTAAAATAAATAAATCAGCGTCAATAATTCAAAAATACAAGTATTATACAAATATTTTGCGTTTAGGATAAATATACGTGTTATGTATAATTGTGATATGTTTAACAGTTTAATACAATTAATTTATTTTCAAATAGCTGTACAAAAAAATAGAATTTATTCTATTCTTGAATAAAAAAGATCATGTTTGTTGTGTCATTTCTTGAAATTGATTCTTGTCAAGGGCATATTGTATTAAAAATTCCAATTCTAGAGGATGGAGCTTTTCAGCTGGTATAACAAGGCAGTGTAACGGCAGTCCTAGATCCACATGTGTCATATCTTGTAGAGAACAAGCAATAATATGCTGATCCTCGCAGCTCACTCGCGCTAAGCCCACTGCTAAACTTTGTTGCGTAAATGCTATCAGATGCAAAAATCCAAAAATAAATTAATATTAATATATAATTAATATTAATATTAATTAATTAACATTAATATTAATATATATTATAATTAATATATTATTATTATTAAAATATTATTAAAAATTATTAAATTATAACAATTTATATAATTACTATATTTTTATTATATAATTGTATAAATGTCATGCAATTATTATATTTTCTTGATAAAATTATTTGTTGTCACCAACCGAGATCTTTGTGGCCATTCTGAATCTTATTGTCAAGTATCGCTATCAGTTGACTAGCAGCCTCGTTAACGTTCATAAATCTTGGAGGCATATATTCCTTTTTCTTCTTTGTGATGCTTTCTAAAGTAGGTTCTTTAACTTTGATGTCTAAAAGACAAAGTGTATGTAATCCTCTCTGTCTATTGGAAGCTATCTTCTCATAAAAGCTGTCCGGCTGCCAAGTGTCAGTCCAGTATGGAATTGAAACAATCTCCCCATATGAATATAGTTGCAAACCACAACAACCGATTGCAGTTAATATTGACGAATTATGTATTACTTTTACCTGAAAGGCACATATTCTTTAATAATCTT